AGTCGGAAATGACTTGATAACACTTAGCAACAACAACAACAAACCTGAACATTACCTTAGCTATGAAAGGAAAACAAACATATGGCCAAAGGCAAGGGCACACTTGCCAAAGTGTCATTGGCTTCATGTTTACAGATGATCAATTATAGGAACAGGAGCAAAATAAACAAGCTGGGGCCCTAGGGAGTGAGCAAGCTTCAACATCTGGCCAACAACGAACATGCGGTACAAGTGAGAATTCACGTCCGGATGTCCACACCTTAGAGAGTTGAGGGCTTTCTGTCATCTCGGCCTAGCCTAGCCTAACACACAGGCCACTTTTTACAATCTTAATGTTTAATAACCCTGATGTCATGGAGAGGTTCTCATCAATACCTTGGCAATCCAGTCAAGCATGAAAAGCATGTGTCTGATTCTCAAGGAACCCAGCCTTTCTGGCGTCACTAAGGCCAGATAACTTCCTCGCAAAACCAGCACCTTGAGGAAATCTTTAAACCTTGAAATGGAATTATCCCCTAAAGTCTCCAAATAATGGTTTAGCCTCAGTAGAGAAGAATATCTGCATTCAGCATTATAGTCTTTTAAAGAATTATCTATATGTCATCTAATTGACAATAGCAACTCGAGAGGAGAGATGAGACGTTTAGGGAGCTGGTGAGTTCGTACAAGAAGAAATTGTTGGCATTGTTTACAGTTTGTGTGCACATTCTCATTTAAAAAAAAAAAAAAAAAATTAAGGGAGCGTAAAAAAAGTGTTTGAGGCTTAAGAGAAATGACTTTGATTCTGATTTCTCCACTAACTAGACTTGAGTCTTTCAAAAGGACCCTCAAATTCCTTATACCTTGGTGATGGCGGTAGTGTGCATAGAATCAGGTCCAACTCAACAGTGACTCTGCATAGGGCTTCCAAGGCTGTAAATCTTTATGGGAGCAGAAAGCTTCATGATTCCCCCACAGTACAATTGGTAGTTTTGAACTTCTGACCTTCAGGTTAGCAGCCCGACTTGCAACCACTACACTTAGTTTGGTCATGCTTAAAATGACCATATGAAGAATCTTGTCCATCATTAAAATCCCGCTTCTTATGTCATGCTCAGTCTTAACTCTCCAGACAGACACATCATCAGAGTTATGTGTTTAAGGCAACAGAGGAGTTGTAGGGTCTACAGAAGGGTGCATACATAGCAGAAAGGTGACCCATAAACAGCGATCAGGGGAGACCATCATGCTGGGTAAAGTGCAGGGTCAGCGAAAAAGAGGAAGGCCCTCAATGAAATGGACTGACAGCGTGGCTGCCACAATGGGATTCTGGGAATGGTGCAAGATGGGGCAGGGCTTCCTTCTGGTGGACATGGAAGTAGTGATGTGCTGCAGAGTCAGTTCTGACTCACAGTGACTCTGCATAGAGTTTCCGAGGCTGTACATTTTTACGGGAGCAGAAAGCTTCATCTTTCTCCTGTAGAATGGCTGGTAGTTTGGAACAGCTGACCTTGGGATTAGCAGCCCAACTTATAACTACTACACTACCAGAGCTCACAGGTCACTCTAAGGCAGAACCGACTTGATGGTACCTAACAACCACAACAACACAGCAGCAACCGGTAAAGGCTGGAATTGAACAGAAACCGGATGAGATGAAACAGAGCTATGTGAGGGCCAGGCCATAAACTCAGATGGGACACATAGTCCACGCAAAGCAGAGATGAGGAATCCAGGTTCATGAAAGTTGTCTGCATGACATCAAAGCCAGGGGAACAGGAGCACTGCTCCGCTCCCACTTTGTCCAACTGTGGTTTGCTGTTGGGGAAATAGATGCCGAGAGGAAAAGGTCACAGAGATCTCTACTGTTCTGTGGCTTGGCCTGAAGAAGAGATGACCACCAAACCCAAACACACTGCCACCATGTTGATTCCAACTCCTAACAGCCTGGTAGGACCTCGAGGAATAGACCCAGAGGGCCTCTGAGGCTGTGGATCTTTACAGGAGCAGACAGTCTCCTTTTCCTCAGAGAGTGACCGACCTTACAGCTAGTTCAGGACTAAGAGGAGCTCCTTACTCAGGACGGGGAGTACACAGACTCTCCATCAACGTGCCAAGGAAGACTAGGCATGACATAGACAAGGGAACTATCGCAGGGAAATTTTATAAATTCCGACATCATCTACTCAAGGAAATTATAACATTTTCATCCCTAAAATTCTATGAAAGTTTTAAATTATATATGTCTACAGCCATATCACCCTGAATGTGCCCGCTAAGCAGGGTCAGGCCCGATTAGTAACTGGATGGGAGACTGCCTGGGAATACCCGGTGCTGTGGGCTTTAAAGAAGCTCTGTTAGCATAGTGGTTATGAGTCGGGCTGCGAACCTCACGGTCAGCAATTCGAAACTACCAGCTGTTCCGCAGGAGAAAGATGAGGGTTTCTGCTCCCGTAAACATTTACAGACTCGGAAATCCTGTACAGGATCGTTATGAGTCAGAACTGACTCCACGGCACATAACCACCACCAAGTCAGTCTATCAAGGATAGTTAAAATGCAGTTCTGCCAGGGACTAATTAATTGCTCACTTAAATTCATTTCAAATCTATGGCTTGGATGGACGGACAGAAGGAAGGTAAACAAGCTATTGATCTTCACTCACTCACTCACTCCCCCCATCCCCACCCCCACTATCATCGCGCCAACTCTGACTCATAGCCCTGTATAGGGTTTCCGAGGCTGTAAATAGGGTTTCTGAGGCTGTAAATCATCGCAAGAACAGAAAGCCTCATCTTTCTCCTACAGAGCAGCTGCTGGTTTTGAACCACTGACCTTGTGGTTAGCAACCCAGTGCTTACCTACAGCATCAGCAGGTACCTTAGCTGTCACCACTAGTTACTTAACATGAGTAGTAACATTTGTGTCCCCTCACTAAAACGTCATACACCGTAAAATTATTATCACCATGACTCTTATGTTCTCAACACAATTATATGTTTACTATTACATGTACAAGTTGCTTCCAAAATACCTTCTCTCTCGCTACCAGAAGACAGTGCTACTATACATACTAATGTAGCATCAACCATTTTTGACATACCAACTCAAACATCAAAGTTTTCATAACCACAATTTAATTACTTGGTAAAGTGGAGGGTCAGTGAAAAAGAGGAAGTCCCCAACGAGATGGACTGGCAGAGTGGTAGCACCAATGGGCTCAAGCACAACAATTGTGAGGTTGCCCAGGATCAGGCAGCATTTTGTTCTGTTGGATATAGGGTCGCTGAGTTGGAACAGACTCAAAGGCACCTGACAACAACAACAATGTAATCATGAGTTCAGGAAGCTTGTTGTTATTGTCGGGGCTGCTAACTTAAATTCTGGTTCATAGCAATCCCATGCGACAGAGTGGAATTGCTCCATGGGATTTTCTAGGCTGCTACAAGAGCAGACCACTAGGTCGTTCTCCCATAGTCACTGGTGGGTTCGAACCGACAACCTTTTGATTAGCAGCTAAGCACATAACCATTGTACCACCAAGGCTCCTTAACCAGTAGGTGTTGCTGTTGTTGAATGCTGTCAGGTTGATTCTGACTGTGTAGTTACCTTACACAACAAAGCAGAATTACCCCATTGGGTTTTCTAAGCTGTAATCATTATGACCCAAGCCATGGCATTTTCAATAGCCTCATGTGCATGTGAAAGATGGATAGTGAATAAGGAAGACAGTAGAAGAATGGATGCATTTGAGTTATGGTGGTGTTGTTATGTGCCGTGGAGTCGGTTCCAACTCATAGCGACCCTGCACCGAGGCTGTAAATCTTTACGAGAGCAAAAGCCTCATCTTTATCCTACAGCTGGTAGTTTCGAACTGCTGACCCTGAGGTTAGCAGCCCGATATGTTAACCACTACGCTATAGCGTAGTGGTTACGAATCGGGCTGCGAACCTTAAGGACAGCGGTTCGAAACTACCAGCTGCTCCATGAAAGAAAGATCAGGCTTTCTACTCCCGTAGATTTACACCCTTGGAAACCCTGTACAGGGTCGCTATGGGTCGGAACCAACTCGACAGCACTTAACAACAACAAACGCTGTACTGGAGGAGAATACTAAAAGTACCATGGGCTGCCAGAAGAACAAATAGATCTGTGTTGGAAGAAGTGCAGCCAGAATGCTCCTTGGAAGCCAGGATGGTGAGACTTAGTCTCTCATACTCAGACATATTGTAAGGAGGGACCAGTCAATGGAAAAGGATATCATGTTTGGTAATGTGAAGGGTCAGAGAAAAAGAGGAAGACCCCCAATGAGATGGATTGGCACAGTGGCAGCATCAATGGGCTCAAGCATAGCAGTAATTGTGAGGTTGGCTCAAGACAGAACAGCAGTTCGTTCTGTTGTGCACAGGGTCGCTATGAGTTGGTACCAACTTGATGGCACCTAACAACAACATCATCATGATGGAGCAAACTGCCAAGTCTTTCTTTCATAAAGTCACTTGATGGGTTGGAACCACCTACCTTTCCATTAGCAGCGAAATGCTTAACCTCAAGTTGTTGCTGTTAATTGCTGTCAAATCAGTTCCAACTCATAGCAACCCTACATAGGGTTTTCAAGGAGCAGCTGGCGGGTTTGAACTGCCAATCTTGCAGTTTGCAGTCCAGTGCTGATCTACAGTACCACACCAGGAGTCCTGGAAGTCTACCAAAACACCAAATCCAGTGCCTTCAAGTAGATTATGACCCATAGTGACACTATAGGACAGAATCAAACTGCCCATAGGGTTTCCAAGGAGCACTGATGATGCAGTGATGAAAACACTCAGCTGCCTACCATAAGGTCAGCAGTTCGAACTCACCAGCCGCTCCATAGGAGAAAGGTGGGTCTGCTTCCTTGGAAGGCCTAGGAGGCAGATCCACCCTGTGAGAGAGGGTCACTATGAGTCAGAATCATCTCCATGGCAGTGGGTTTGGATCGTTTGCAATCTTGACCGAAGCCGACTACAGCATCTTGTACTCACCTGGAGTTTCCTTTTCTTCCGGGAGAGGCTTCCTGTCCAGTCACTGATCCGCCGCATCCGGGATTTCAGGGTGTCCTTCTTAGACGTGCCCTCTGTTAAGGCTTTGGACTTGCGGCAGGGAAGAGTGAAGGAGCTGTACTGGCCGGGGTCCCTGTGCTCCACTCTGGAGGACACATCCATGTCCGAGGCAAAGGAAACCCGGGTACTGAGGTGGGCGTGTGTGCCGATGTACTCATCAGAAAGCCGGATCCCCGAGGGCGGGAGGCCAGCATCTCGGTATAGTTCCCGGAGCGAAGAGAGGGAAGCACTATGGTTGAAAGGCTTTTTGGCATCACTTGGTGGGAAGCTGGCATGGAGGCTGGGGTCAGGGGTACCAGGGGACAGGAAGCAGCCCTCCAATTCGCTCATCTCTCCACCATTGCCCCAAGGGGAGTCGTACCAAGACGACTCGGAACTCAGGGAGCTGCCTTTGCTGGACCGCAGGCGTGAGTCAGTGGGCGAAAGGCGATGGCCGGACGGGTACTCGCCCTGGCTCGAGTTCCTCCTGGCTTCGGGCACTTGGGAGGGGTCCGATTCTAAGGTGGGAGAGTACCTCAGCAGCTGTACTGGCCCCCTGGACTCCTCTGTAGGCACTTTGCCATGGTGGGCACCATTGTGAAACTCAACCCTTAAGCATCCATCCAACTTCCCCAGAGTTTTGATGAGCACCTTGGGGCTCTTCCGGTCTTCACCGGGAGGGGTGGATGCAGCACTCTCATTCTGTCCATTGCAGTGGAGAAGGTACCCGTTGCAATCTCGGGAGGCAGTGTGCTTCTCTGCTGGCTGATGGCCAACACAGTGGGAACCGCTGTCAGAGGAGAGAGCAGCAATGAGATCTCCCTGGGAGTCATCCCCTGAGGTGTTTGTCCTGGGCTTCGAGTGGCTCGTGCCTTTGGGCACTTTGCAGGTGGGTCCGCTGAAGGCATAGGGTTGGTTACTCTTGAAGTGGGAAAGGCAGCTGCGGGCCAGGGACCTGGACTTATAGCCTGCCCCACTGGCCCCTGGACCCCACCCATGCAACGATTTCTCATCCTTTGCATGGATGCTGCGGATTTTGAGGGAGCAAGGCTTCTGCTTAGCACCAGGAACAGGGCTGCTGTGGCCTTTAGACCCTTGGAAGGTATACTGACTCTCGGAGTTCCCCATTATCACCTAAATGGAAAACAGTGACATAATCATCAGAGTGACCGAAGTTACATTCCACTGGGACAGAACTTTCTAAAAACAGATGTTCGAAATGCGTCGGAAGCAGCGAGCCCCTTGTTTCAGTGTTGGACACAAGCCTGGGGAGGAGTAAGCACCAAAGTTACTCACCAGCCTGGTTCTACTAATCAAGCAATGCTGTTCACTGGTCTGACAGAGAGCACAGCACACTCATAGTGTTATTTTAACAACTGGATGTGTTGTAAGATGTTAATTTAGAAATGGAAGAGACACGGAATCAGTTCAAGGTCCTGACTGACTTAAAGTCTTGGTGGTGAGAGGCTTTGAACTCAGTGGGTCTTAAAGAGAAAAAGGAAGAGAAACTGTCTTTCCTCTGTTAGTCCAAAAACACTGAGTTGCCAACGACTTAAAAATATTTTGAGAAACCAGTTGTCACTGAGTTGACTCTGACTCATGTGTGCCAAAGGGTTTCAAGAGCTGGTTTGGGGGCACCTTTGGTATACACAAATCTTTAGCCTTTTGGGTAAAAACAAATTAACCATTTATATCACCAGGGACGTCTTCCAACAATGAGAGATGCATTTTTTTCTTATTCTACATTAACTACTGGAGTTGCTATGAGTTGGAACCAACTCACTAGTACTTAACAAACACCAACAACACCTTAACTATTAAGAAGAGCAAACATCTCCCCATAATATTAAAGAGTATCACTCAAACCCCACCACATTTGTAATAATGAATGACTCCTGGTGTCAGGATCTGTTGGAGTGTTTGAATATCCCAGAGAGAAGGAACACCATTAAAGAAAAAGGATGAGAACCCCTCAAAAACTGAGAGGGAGACAAACTCCTTCATAAAACTAACTTCTCATGCTTTCCTAAAGATTTTAGGGACCCTCATTTTAGAGCGTGAGAGAAAAAACTTCAAGCTGAACTGTTAGAAAGTGGGTCTCAAACACAATTCTGTTGCTGTTAAAGTGCCTTCAAGTCAGGGCTGACTTGTAGCAACCCTGTACTGGGCTTTCAAGGAGCAGCTGGTGAGTTTGAACCACCGACTTTGCAGTCCCAGTGCTTATCCTACCACGCCACACCAAGAAAGTATTAGATTATTTTAATTCTCTTTAAAATCCCAACTGACAACTCCATGAGACTAACTATTCATTAAGCCAAACTCAGTAACATTTGGTTCAAACCTTCCCCCTTCCATTTTTTAAATTCTAATCACCATATTACTATTTTAGGCAAGTTAAAGGTGATCTGAATTAGGTCCCCAAATACATTTAGTAGTTTTTTTGTTTGTTTGTTTTTCTATCTAAGACCATACCATCACAAAACATGAGCCAGATAGATTGACTTTTCTTTGGTGGCTGTTGTCGTTGTTGTCAGGTGCCATTGAGAGTCAGTACTGACTCATAACAACCCTATCCACAACAGAACAAAACACTGCCCAGTCCTGAGCCAACCTCACAATTGTTGCTGCATCTGAGCCCATATTTTGGTGGAACCAATCAAACATTTTAAATTCAAAATCACTGGAAGGAGTTATGAAGCTTCACTTTATTACTGGATGACAATCATAACACCTGGCAGGAACCCCAGCCCAGGTTAACGACGTTTACCTCAGGAGGATTTCTGCTCTGAGGGGGACTAGTGATCAGCAGCCTTCACATGGTCCTGCGAACAAGGTAGCACACCAAACACACACAGGAAGTAAGTCCATAAGTCGATCCTGGAAAACAGAAATACGAGAAAACTCCATCAGGCATTTTACACCCAGCTCCCTGAAAGTTAAAAAACCACAACAAAGGTTTCATGTAACCCATAGGAAGAAACAAGTATTCTCCTGAATCACTGTTCCCAGAGTAAATAAAGGTCTGTGGCATGTTTGATTCATCAACATGGAAGGACGATGCAAAATAAGCCATAACTCTCTACCCAGCCTTAGAAAAGCCCTGATAGTCTCAAAGCAGGGCCAGTGATGTGCCTTTTTCTCCGGTGAAAGCGCTGGAGTGAGTCACGGCTGATCTGTCACCAAAACAGGGAAACAACGCCAGACCCTTGTGCTGACAGCATTGCTAGGACATCATCCTGACAGGGCAAGAACAGGTCATTGTTCTGTGTGACTGAGCGGAAAACAGAATCAAAGTGGGTCATCATGTGAAATCATCTTCGGCTGAAATAACTTAGGCTGTGGAGGCTGACCTCAGGTGAGCTGGACACTGTCCTCAAACACACCAAGGTGAAAGCTTGCTGGGCCTGACAAGCCTCTACCAGCCCGTGTCAGAAGACAAGCACACATAATACCAGCTAGCTGCAGCTCCCCAATACCAGACAACAGACCTACTGCTCACAGACACTAAAAGGCCGGGGACCCAAGGCACTGCAAAGTTTCTTGTGGGTACCTTTTGAAATCAATAACTTAATTTCTTATTTCATGGTATATTTCAAAAAGCATAGCACGAGACCCTGTCCACACAAGGCCTGAAACATTGTGCTCACCAGAAGCACACAATGAAAACCTGTTGCTTTGAATGAAAGGAAGGTTCACACTCTAAAATGTTGATTCAGGCATAGAGGAGCGAGTATGGCTGAAAGACCCATGTGCACATGGACTCATGAGGAAGTATTTCCTTAATTGAGATGCTACAGTCTGGAGACAAGCAGAAAAGGGATGACAAAGGTGGCTAACAATGTCAACTTCCACAGACGGGTAATGCTGACCAGCTGTTCAACATCTCGAACCAATTGTGGCAGAAAGAAAACAACCTTACAGGAAGAATGGATTCAATATTTACGAGAAACGTATTGACAGGAAGGGTAACTCCTGAGGGAAACTGTGGAATGATGGGCCCTCAGGAACTTGACAAATTGAACAGATATTTATCTGCCAGAATTCAGCGGAGTTTTTTGTCTGCAAGCAGGAGAACAAATAAGTCAAATGTTCAGCATCCCCTGTGCTTCTATTACATTACAAAGGGAATTTTCTGGCATACAAGTGAAAAACATTTTTTTGTTGACAGAGCACGAAATGAAAGAAAAGAATCCCAAAGTCTCCAGTATCTTTGAACAGCAAAAAATATGTATTTGGCAGAATCACCTGCCCTGAAGACAGGTAACTTCCATGAAATCTCTCTGTTATCAATGCTACAGCACTAAGAGTGTGAACAGTTAGCAAATACGTACTGTATGCTGTGGATAAACTATTACCTCCTGGTGCTGTTTTCCGTGAGGTTCCCCACTCATCTGTAAGTTTGTTTGACTGAACCAGTAAACAACATGGTAAATGAAGAAAAAACTAAAGTTGTTAAAGATTTCTCTGTACTTGGATCCACAATCAAAGCCATGGAAGCATCAGTCAGGAAATCAAATAATGTATTGCATTGGTCAAATCTGCTGCAAAAGATGCATTTTAAAGTGTTCAAGAGCAAAGATGTTCCTTTGAGGACTAAGGTGTACCTGACCCTAACTATGGTATTTTCATTTGACTCAAATGTATGAGAAAGACAGACAGTGACTAAGGAAGACTGTAGAAGAATTGATGCATTTGAAGTATGGTGTTGGAGAAGATTATTAAAAGTACCATGGACTGCTTGAAGAACAGACAGATCTGTGTTGGAAGAAGGACAGCCAGAGTGCTCGTTAGAAGCCAGGATGCCCAGACTTGGTGTCTCATACTTTGGACATGTTATGAGGAGGGACCAGTCCCTGAGGAAGGACATCATGATTGGTAAAGTAGAGAGTCAGTAAAAATAGGAAGATCTCCAATGAGATAAACTGATACAGTAGTTACAATGGTAGGTTAAACACAGCAATTGTAACGATGGTCCAGAGCCAGGCAGTGCGGTGTTGTGTTGTGCGCAGGGTTACTGTTGGTCGGCGTCAGCTGGATGGCACTTAATAACAACCTATTGCCTTCAAGGCACTTCCAACTCACAGTGGCTCTTAGGACGGAGCACAACTGCCCCACAGGGTTTTAAGTCTGTAATCTTTACGGAAGCCGATTTCCTTATCTTTCTCCCATGAAGTGGCTGGTGGGCTCACACTGCCAAACTTTTGGTTAGCAGTTGAGTACTTTTAACCATTGTCCCAGTAGAACTCCTCTTAGATTGAGAATCAACTACAGAAATATATGAGAAACCACCTGAAGAAAAGTGCAAACTGCCACCCAGATATGGTATCCCGTTGTTAAGTGCCATTAAGTTGGGTCAGACTGTTGGCGACCCTATAGGGTTTATGAGGAGCAGCTGGTAAATTTAAATTGCCAAGCTTATAGTTAGCAATCTAGTACTTATCCTACAGTGCCACACTAGGACTTCTTGGTTGTGCATATACTTTTTCTAAATTATTTTATTTATTGCCTGATTATAATGAAATACTGGAATTTAAAAAAAAACACACCAAAAAACGATTACACTCCTATAAATCTTAAAAAAAAAAAAAAAAAATTCCTAGTCTTCCATTTTCCACCCCATCCATATCACTTCTGTCAGGCAGCCTTTTAAACCAAAATCACAAACAAGAATGAAGGATTCTTTTCTTTTAAAAAAAAAAAATGTGAGCAATCATCACACCAGGAATGTCTGGCTCTGTGGAGGAATTCCATAAATATCCGATCGTCACCCTCCCTGCAGCCACCGGGGCCTCCCAGAGGGCCGGGTATTTACCTTTCCTTTCACTGTCTTCAGCCTGCGTTTGAACCAACACATCAGAGTCCCAGAGACTCTACTTCTAGACAGTGAAGTAGTCAGAAAAGCAAGCAAGTCAGAGTCCTCACCTCTGCCGTAGCTCCAGTCCTGAGAGCCAGCTGTTCAGATGGTGCAATATGGGGAACAAGAGAAAAGACCCCATGGCAGATGGAGCTGTGAGGAAGGAACTGAGGGACTTGTGTGGCCATGTATGGGAATGAGGAACCGGCCCCTACACAAAAGCAGATTTCCAGCTGGGCACAGCAGTACAGCAAGCTCACAGTATACAACACCAAGATAT